CGTGTAGAGCTCCTTGGTGTCCTTCCGCTTGTTCAGGTCCTCGAACTTGCTCTGGATGTAGCTGGCCGCCTCGTCGTACTTGTTGGCCCCTGTGGAGGAGAGGGGATGAGCCACCTGTGTGGGGGCACAGGGCCGAGAGGCAGCCCGCGGCGCTCTGATCCTGGCCTGGCGCCTTCCCTGGCAGGGCCTCAGGTTTCCCCAAGCAGGGCGCGAGACCCTGGCCCGGTGCCGGCGGGCTCTGTGCACTGAGCTCTGGCAGCAGCGGCCGGAGGGTGAATAAACGCCCAGCAGATGCTTTAACAAATGGCCCCTCCACTTCCAGAGCACGCGTGAGGCTGCTGGCAACCCTCGCCACAGCCGGGCCTCGCATCTAGACGGGGGGACCCAAAGCCTCGGCCCTCATCTGTCCTGGCCACAGAGCGTGTCATCTACACACGCCAGCCATGGCTGCCCCCTTTAACTGCTCAGCTGCCAGCAGATCCTGAGGCAAGGAGTTCCACAGGTCACACCCACACAGAGCCCCTCTGGCACTAACAGGCATTTCCTGGCCTGACCCTGCTGCACAGACCTTTGGGTGGGGGGACCCAAAGCCTCGGCCCTCATCTGTCCTGGCCACAGAGCGTGTCATCTACACACGCCAGCCATGGCTGCCCCCTTTAACTGCTCAGCTGCCAGCAGATCCTGAGGCAAGGAGTTCCACAGGTCACACCCACACAGAGCCCCTCTGGCACTAACAGGCATTTCCTGGCCTGACCCTGCTGCACAGACCTTTGGGTCTGACGGACTCTGCAGAGCCCTGTGCGTCTGGCATGAGACTGACCGAGCTGGATCTAGTAGTTCAGTTTTGTCTGTTCCATCTGCAAGTTCGGTTCACGCCTTCCTAACCCCTTGTGAGCTCTGCGCGGGCACCAGCCTTCCCATGTGTAGTTACCCCTCCCCGTCACCCCCGTATTAACAGGCGGAGACCTCGGCACAACCGTCCTATGAGCCAGGGGCTGGCGAGTGCTGCCCACAGAGCCCGACACGCTCACCTGTGTACTCGGGGAAGCAGATGCTTAGGGGGCTGTGGACGATCTTCTCCTCGAAGAGGTCCTTCTTGTTCAGGAAGAGGATGATGGAAGTGTCCGTGAACCACTTGTTGTTACAGATGCTGTCGAACAGCTTCATGCTCTCGTGCATCCGGTTCTGGGAAGACAAGCAGCACAGGCGCTCAGCGAGCCAGAGCAAGAACGGGGGAAAGGGCAGGGCTGCCTAGTGGTGAGGGCACGCGCACGCCCGGATCGTAGCAGGCCACGTTCAGTTCCCTGGTCCCAAAACTCCTTCGTGCTGGTTGTCTCGGAGGAGTCTTGGCTTCCAGAGGAATCAAATCCCCTTTGCCCGAGCTGAGTTCAGCTGAAATCAATGGACGCTCAGAGCCCCGATACACCTTTGTGTGTCGGGCCTCAGTTTCCCCAGGTGCATCCTGGGGGAGGGGACAACACACCACTGCCCTGCTCGCAGGTGAGGGAGGGGCCATACAAGGGCACCCGAGAGACCAGCCCGAGCTGGAGAAGGTCTCAGGACCCAGCGCAGACGGAGCCGCTGCCTCTCACGCCCAGACAGCCGGCGCTGGGCCCTGCGGCTCCGCTTCGGAGAAGTCTGGGCCCCAAGGGGCTGGTGCGTCCCGCTGTTTTCGGGAGGGAGCAGCTTCTAGCCATGCCCAGCGGAGACTGGCGAGACAGCCGCTCGCGTCTCCTAGGGGCGGGGCCCAGGGTCATGACTCCACCAGCTGGTTCCCCCCGGCCATTCTGTGGGGCCTCAGGAAGGGGAGGAGCAGGCGGGGGCAGGGAGAGATGGCAGCCAGGTGTGGGGAGGGAGGTCGGTGGGGATGGAGGAAACCAAAGAGCCCCCACCCCAGTGAATGTGTGGGTTGGGACTCAGCCAGAGACACCGTCCCATGGGCCCTCCAGTTAGGGCCCATCCAACCAGCTGAGCGTGCCACCGGCCGGTCAACCCCCTCCCCTCCTTACCATCTCCTCGTCCTCCGCCAGCACCAGGTCGTAGGCGCTGAGAGCCACGCAAAAGATGATGGCCGTCACGCCCTCAAAGCAATGGATCCACTTCTTCCTCTCCGACCTCTGGCCCCCCACGTCGAACATCCTGCGAGCAAATGGCCGGCGTCACCCGCTGGGCTCCTGACGCCCGGCCGGCTTTGGCGCA